GACAGCGGGGTGCAACGCATGTGTGTTTGTGTTTCCCTCACGCCGTATACCCCCCCGCTTTTCGATTACAACAGTCCCGCAACCGATGGCGGCGGAGGCGTCCTGGACATAGTCGGGGACGCGCCGAAGCTGTCGTCCATCCCGGGAAGGAGCGGGGACGGCGGCAAGTCATGCCCTACGGGGTTGGCGGCAAGCGGCGGTGGCGGTGGCGGAGGGGGGGTCGCGGCTGCGGCTGCGGCGGGGGCGGGGTCGTTCATGAAGGGGGCCATGGGGTTCTTCAGCCCCACCACCCTGGCAAGGCACAAGAAACAGCTGGAAGCCGAGGACAGGCAGCGGATGGAGGCCAGCCTCGACATCATGGGGGAGAGCAGCGAGATCATCAAAGCCCTCAACACGCAGGTGACCCCCTGTGGGGAATAAACGGGTCATGGGATATTTTTTGTCGCCCCCTTGTACCCAGTGTTGACGATGCCACGTGGTGCAAGATAGATAGCGTGTACACGAAAGGGATTGGGCGCGTGCGACAGTCGCTCTGCTGTGTTTTTTGACTAGAGTGTCAAGTGATGACACGTCCCCCTCTTGTGGCCCCGCACCGCTTTCGTCGTCTCCCGCCGGGGATATGGATATGTGGAAACATGTACCCCTTCCCCTCCGTTGCTCCCGCGCCACCGGTGGATGGACACGAAATCCATCAACATAAAACCGCAGTGGGACATATTTTTCCCGCTGCTTTTTTTCCCACTACCATCGGTCGACGCTCTCTTCTTTGAGGGCAACCACCGCTTGAAGGAAGAACCGATCTCACGCACGCACGGAATGTACAAGCTGGGCCAGCCAGGTTGCATTCAAAATGGTTGAAAACGATTTACACCACGGTTTCTACGAGTTAGAACCTGAAATTTTGATATGTGGTCGGTAATAGTACAACCAAGACCTTGACTGGAAGCGCCCTTCTTTTTTGTTCATTATTCACGAGGTAGCCCTATTTAAGAATAAATGGAGATCCTTTTTTTGTGTATAGGGGGACTAAAGAATATATAAATAGAGGGTGCTTCCAGTCAAGGTCTTGGTTGTACTAATACCCATCACATTGCAAAACTTCAGATTCCAACTCGTAAAAATCGTGGTGTAAATCGCGATATTCTCATATTCCCTCAGCTATCTTGTTTATTGGATATGAATCTTTACGAGGCCATAACTTGTGATGGAAGATGAATTGAACACTGTAATTTCCATCTACACTCTCGCACAGCTCTCAGGTACGTGCACACCAAATTTCAGATTCATCTGAAAAACTTTCTTTTATAATGACTTCAGTACCAGAGGTATCGGGTATTACGCAGTCAATTGATCGTGCAATACCTAAATCAACTCAGATTTTATAATGATTTCAGTACCAGAGGTATCGGGTATTACGCAGTCAATTGATCGTGTAATACCTAAATCAACTCAGATTCGAAAAATTCTGGTACCTGCGGTTCCCCTATTGTCTTGTACGAGCAGCTGCCAATTTTCAAGCCTAAACTTGTTTAAACGGCAGCGTGAGAACAAAAGTAACCTTCTTGGCCGGCCCAGCTTGTATGTCTTCCTTTGCTTGCCTTCCTGCGCTGATCGGTCGACATCCTCTTTGTCAAAGAGCGACCACCACTTGAAGGAAGAGCGATTTCGCCTCCCCACGCCCCCCCCCCCCCCCCCCCCCCCCCCCCCCCCCCCCCCCCCCCCCCCCCCCC